AGTTCTGGCATTAGGAAATAACACTTATTGACTTTATGAACTGAGAAACTTTTCTCATCTATAAACATGGTGATTGAATGAGATCAGCTCTAAGGCACCTCTGAGCTCTTTTTCCTGTAAGAGTCCTTTACGAAGTTTTAAATTCAGTAACTAATGCATAACTATAGAAACAGGTACTCTCTAGTTTTTCACAATTAAACTAAAAACTATAATAACATGCTATTCGTTTTAAAATTTCTGCATTATAAAATGTTTTTAATATATAATTAGACAATATTAAACATTATGTTTAGAAGATCTATTGATTTTTCCTTAATATCATGGGCAACATATCTCTGCAAATTAGGGAATAACCTAAGTAGACGAATAAATTATCTTTTCCATTTCCAAAAGCTACATTACAAATTAGGCTATAAAACTTTTGATAGATGCTCCTTTTTAATGAATTACTAAAAGTAAACTACAATAATTCATCAAAGATTAAACTGTACAATCATTTATGTTCTAAAACAAACCATAACATTTTTTATTTCTCTTGGTTTTATTAAGTACATAAAGAGGAAGCAACAGAACTAGAGACAGACAACTGAAGGAAAGAAGAAAGTATGAAACCAGTAAAAAATATCTTATTATAGCTTGAAAAACCTCATTTACTTTTAGTAAAAAAGGAAAAAATTTGGAAGAGGTGCCTGAAATAAACATGACAAAGAATTTCTGTTATATCAATCAAAACCTGCAGACCTTGTAATTTCCTCACTGCAGCAAGGCATATATTCTCCATTTTTAGCCTACATTTAAAGTCTACAAAAGGCCCAGCACAGTGGCTCACGTCTGTAATCCCAGCACACTGGGAGGCTGAGATGGGCAGATCACCTAAGGTCAGGAGTTTGAGACCAGCCGGGCCTACATGGTAAAACCCCGTCTCTAATAAAAATACAAAAATTAGCCGGGCATGGTGGCAGGCGCCTGTAATCTCAGATACTCAGGAAGCTAAGGCACAAGAATATCACTTGAACCCAGGAGGAGGAGGTTAGGGTGAGCTGAGATCATGCCACTGCACTCCAGCCTGGGTAACAGAGTGAGACTCTGTCTCAGAAAAATAAAATAAAATAAAAAATAAAGCCTACTAATCTGCAGTCTACAAAGTGCTAATAAGGGCAGATTTTTTTAAATGAACCAAAAATGGCTTTATTAAAAATCTTCATAAACAGCTCTGAAAATACTCACCAAATAAAATAATCTCACATTTTTATATGTAACTCAGAAGTTAGAAAGCAGTTTCACAGAGCTTACACTGTATATCCAAAGTGGTTATTAATAATTTTTAAAGACTACTTCTGAAATACTTTTGAAAACAACTGTTTAAATTTCCCATGTTACAACTTTAATAGCATTAAATCAGAATCTAGTCTAACGGAAACAGATCTTAATAAGCCAGAGGGTTCAAGTGACTTGCCTGGGTCCAACATTTGTGTGTTCTTTCCACATTGCCACAGGTGGAATTCAGAAATCATCAAAAAAAAAAAAAAATTAATTAACAGGTTCAAGTGTTTTATCACCAAATCTAGTAGAAAACTTTTCATTACTGATAAAAATGTAGTCATGGGAATGTACTAAGTATGCAAATATAGAGGTTGCCAAGTTAATGGCTTATCTTACTCCATAAGACACTAAAAAAACTAAACTAAAATTTAATATAAAAGAATCAGAACTATTCTTCTCCCTGAGACTGTCCATTACTATACCATCCTTTTATAACCTCTCCTTTTTCTCTAAACAATGAAACATTAAGAATTATTTTCTAAGAGAAGGACTGGAATACTGGCGAGGGGCGGGGGGGAAGAGGAACAGAGATAAGATTTATCCAAAAATTACTCCTAAAGCAACATTTTCGTTAACTTGAACTCGACTTTACCTCCTTTTACTGTGTTTCACTTTACTGTACTACTCAGATACTGCACATTTTACAAATTGAAGGTTTGTGGCAAATCTGCATCAAACAAGCCTATCAGTGCCATTTTTCTAAAAGCATGTGCTCACTTCATGTCTCTCCATGACACTCTGTGTCACATTTTGGTAATTCTTGCATTATCTCAAACTTACTCATTATCATTATATCTGCCATGAGGATCTGTGATCAGTGTTCTTTGATGTTACTATTTTAACTATTTTGGGGCACCACAAACCATGCTCATATGAGACAGGGAACTCAATTGATACATGTGTGTGTGACTGCTCTACCAAACAGCATTCTCTTTCCCTCTCCTCAGGTCTTCCTATTCCCTGAAACATAACAATATTGAAAGTAGGCCAACTCATAACCCTACAATGATCTCTAAGTGCTGAAGTGAAAGCAGGAGTTTCAAATCTCTCACTTTAAATCAAAAGCTAGAAATGATTCAGCTTAGTAAAGAAGCCATGTCAAATGACGTGACAGCCTAAAGCCAGGCCTTCTTGTGGCAAACAGCCAAGTTGTGAACGCAAAGGAAAAATTATTGATGGAAATTAAAAGTGCTACTCCAGTGAACACATGAATGATAAGAAACAAAAACAGCCTTATTGCCAATACGGAGAAAGTATGAGTGGTCTAGATCGAAGATCAAACAAGCCACAACATTCCCTTAAGCCAAAACCTAAACCAGTGTAAAGCCCTAACTCTCTCCAATGCTATAAAGGCTTAGAAAAGTGAGGAAACTGCAGAAGAAAAGACTGAAGTTAGAGGATGGTTCTTAACGTTTATGGAAAGAAGTTATTTCCAGAACATAAAAATGCAAGGTGAAACAGCAAGTACTTATGCAGAAGCTGCAGCAAGTTATCCAGCATATCTAGCTATTACAAGATCACTGAAGAAGGTGGCTACACTCAACAACAGATTTCAATGAAGACAAATAGCCTTCAATTGGAAGAAGATGCTATCTAGGACTTTCATAGCTAGAGATGAGAAGTAAATATCTGGCTTCAAAGCTTCAAGGACAGGCTGACTCTGTTGTTAGGGGCTAATGCAGCTGGTGACTTTCAATTGAAGCCAACGCTCACTTTCCATTCTGAAAATCCTTAGGGCTCTTAAGAATTATGATAAATCTACTCTGCCTGTGTTTTATCAATAGAACAACAAAGCCTAGATGACAGTGCATCTGTTTACAGCATAGCTTTTACTGAATAATGTAAGCTCATTGTTTAAACCTAATCCTTGGAAAAAAAAAGATTTCTTTCAAAATATTACTGCTCATTGACAGTGCACCTGGTCACCCAAGAGTTCTGGTGGAGATACAAAAGGAAATGAATGTTTTCATGACTGCCAACAATATCCATTTCGCAGTCCATGGATCAGGGATTAATTTCATCTTGCAAATCTTATTTCAGAAATAAATTTTGTATGTCTATAGCTGCTATTGATAGTGATTCTCTAATGGATCTTGGCAAAGTAAATGGAAAACCTTCTGCAAAGGATTCATCATTCTAGATGGCATTAAGAACACTGATGATTCATGGGAGGAGGTCAAAATATCAACACCAACGGGAGTCTAAAAGAAGTTGATTCCAACCAATACGGATGACATTAAGTAGTTCAAGATTCGGTGGAAGATGTCACTGCAAGAGAACTAGAATTAGAAGTGGAGGCTGGGCATGGTGGGTCATGCCTATAATCCCAGCACTGTGAAAGGTAAAGGCAGGAGGATCACTTAAGGACAGAAGTTCAAAACCAGCCTGGTCAACACAGTGAGACTCCCTCTTTATAAAAGAAAAATTAAAAAGTTAGCTGGGCATGGTGGCGTGTGTCTCTAGTCCCAGGTAAGGAAGAAGCTGTGGCAGGAGGAGTGCTTGAGCCTGGAAGTTTGAAGCTGCAGTTAAGCCATGATTGTGCCATTGCACTCCAGCTTGAGCAACAGAGTAAAACCCTGTCTAAAAAAAAAAAGGAGAGACTTAAGGAATTGCTATAATCTTTTCAAAAAACAGAGAGTTGCTTCTTATAGATGAGCAAAGAACATGATTTTTTTGAGATAGAATCTACTCCTGGTGAAGATGTTGTGAATATTGCTGAAATAACAACAAAAGATTTAGTACCGTATATAAACTTGGTTGATAAACCAGTGGCAGGGTTTGAGAGGACTGACTATTTTGAAAGAAGTTCTGCTGTGGATAAAATACCCAAAGCACCCCATGCGACAGAGAAATCTTTCATGAAAGTCAATTGATCCAGCAAGTTCACTATCTTATTTTAAGAAATTGTCACAGCTACCCTAGTCTTCAATAACCACCACTGGAATTGGTCAGCAGCTATCAAGAGGGAGGTCACCAGCAAAAAGATTATGACTTGCTGAGGGCTCAGATGATGAGTAGCATTTTTTACCAAACAAGTATTTTAAAATTAAGATGTGTACATTTTTTAGATATAGTACTATTGTACACTCAACAGAGTACAGTACAGTGCACATATAACTTTTATATATACTGAAAATCCAAAAAACTCATCTGACTTTATTGTAATATTTGCTTTACCTCAGTGGTCTGGAACCAAACTTGGAATATCTCTGAGATATGCCTACATATCCTTGATTCCTAATGTGAATATGATACATGTGAAAAATGAACCTAGTAAATTAGCAATTCAAACTATGTAGATAATAAATCTAAAAACCAGGTATATTGATATAGTCTTTGATATATCCTATGACAAAACGCAGCTTAACAAACAATATGTAATGCACACAAATGTTAAATACCTTATATCTTGCAGCTATATTTAGCTCTCTACATAAGAAAAGCCCTAGGAACACGTTTATACATACTTTAAAAGAAGAACGGTTCCGCTTTACACAATAGCATTTTATAATAAAAATACTGATGCAACTGTTTCAGTATTCAAATATATTTATTTCATTATATAACCCTCTTCCTCCTCCCCCAACAAAGAGTTGAAGAATAATTTTCTTGTTAGAATCTTAAGCATGAAAAAAACTGACAAAGTCAAAAAACAAAAAGGTAAACTACCCAACTGTTTTATCAATGCTTTAATATAAATTTTGCAAAGGAGGAAGAGCTCAACAAAATATACGCCTAGCATTAAGTCAGAGAAGGTACTTCCAAACCAATTAACTCAGGGTCTGTTTCGGTTTTGAAAAGTTCTTAAGATTAAAAAAAAAAAAACCTAAGTTGGCTGTATTTTTACAAGGCAGGAATGAAATACTGAAGAGAGACATCTTCTTGAACCAAAACAAGATGAAGAAGAGTATTGTCCCAAATATTGCATAAAGCCGTCATAGGATTTATTTGCTGTCCCTCCAAAAACTGCAGAAGCTTCCGATTATCTACCCGCACTTGCACCATGCTCTCCAGGTCTCTGTTTTGAGGCACATCAAAAGCCGACTTTGGAGGGTTTCCAAGATTTTTAAAATAACTTTTAATTGACACCACCTCCGTCTCTATACTCAGGGTCATCCTGCCACTGAGGTTTGCTTCCAGCAGCACGTGACTGCCCACGTTCACCAGCCTCTCCACGATGCTCCTCAGCGTCCTCCAGCGCGGCAGGTAGATGCTCACGTCCGAGGGGCGCAGGCTGGGCAGCAGGCAGTCTCGCCACACTCTTCTGGGAAGCACCCGCACGGGCAGATCGTGCATCACGCTGCGAACACGGCCCAGGGGTGAGGCCAGCTCCACCATCACCGTGAGGCAGGGACAGCGCTTGTTGGTGAGCTGCAGCTTCAGTGAGGATGCACCCACCGCGCTTCTCGCCGCCCTGGACAGGTGCTCCGCCGTCAGCTCCAGATGAATCTCATTCAGCCCTTCCGAGACACCTTCCATGAGAAACTGCTGGAAGGCCCGCTGCTGCACCTCGCACCACAGCCTGGCTTCCTGAAGGCCGCCTGAGCCCACAGAGCCGAAACACAACCCGTTGGGGCACACGCGGAGCATGCAGACCTTCACCAGCCTCGCCACTGTGCTGCTGACTTGGATGAACAGGTCTAGAGAGTCCTTGCCTGTGATCTTGGCGCGAAACTTCATGATATCGGCAAAGGCAACGCTGGGCCCTCTGAGGAGGATGCCACACGTCACGCTCCCTTCCGGTCCACTTTGGTCCGCGGCGCTGCCCTCCCTCCGGCCCCCAGCAGGGCAGGCACTCAGGTTCCGGGTTCTGTTCTGGATTCCACAGCCCTAGGCCTGGGGCCACAGAAGGGCGTCCCCACGCCCTTTCTTACCTTCCCTCGAGCCCTCACACAAAATTCCCTGTTTCAATTCTGGTTATTAAAAGAGTAGGCATTCCACTGCAGAAACTTCTTAGTATTCTAAACACTAATGAAGACAAAATCATCACTCAGATAACCACTTTTAATATACACTGATACCATCTTCATCTATAAGCATATATGAAGATACAGTGCCACATGTCTTATGAAATTATAGCATACTAGGCACATATTTTACAACCTCACCTTCACACATAAAATATGTAACAGGCATCTTTCCATGTTGGTGAGACATACTTACATCATTTTCATGGCTGATCGGTTTTCCAATGTATAGAGTTATAACACAAATGACAATTTAGATGATTTCCCATTTTTTGCTATTATGAACAAAATGAACATTTTTGGACAAAATAGTTTTGCCTATTTACCCAATAATTTTCTTGCATTAAATTCGGAGGTGAAGTGCTGGTCAATGAATGCACATTTAAAATCCGAATATTCTCAAACTGGCCTGAAGAAAGCTGCATGAACACTCCAGACCACAAGCAACATTGAGTATTAGCAATCTGTTTTATCTGTAGCACTCTACCAGGCAAAAAAAAAAAAAAAAAAAAAAAAAAAAAAGATGTCAACTTGCACTATGTGTGAATTCCATTTTATGCCCCTTGCATCTTTTTATTGTTTATTTTGTTTTTATTTTAAGATCTCTAGCAAGAACATCAACCCTCTGTCCATTACATGTACTGTAAATATCTTCCTCAGTTTATCATGTGACTTTTCACAGTGTTTTTGGTGCTCTTTGCCCTTGGAAAATATTGAATCTTTTTATGTCAAACCTATTGACTTTTTCTCTGCTACTTCTAGGGTCATGCTTTCAAAGTCCTGTTTCTGGTACTTTAAATGTTATCTGTTTTTATAACTTAGTTGTTTGACTCAGTTGAAATCTTTTTTGGAGTACTGAATACCCAGCTGATACACACAATTCACGAAATTCACTTTTCCACTAATCTGAAATGTCAATTTTATTTTAGACAAAAATTCTCATTTTTCTCCTGAATGTTTCCTGACCCTCTCTATATTTTCTCCCACTGCCCTATCTTGCACCTGTACCAGTGATTTAATTTCTATATTATATTTCAATATTGAATAGGACAATCTATCAGAACTTCTCTCATTCTCTCACAGATACTGCTCCAGATGAACTTTAAAATATTTTGTCAGAGTCTAAAAATAATCTTCCTGGAATTTTGATGGGAATTGTCACCACCCTCACATATTACATACTTACACTTCTCTGTTTACGGTCTAGCTCTAACCATAATAATGTAAGTTAGAGGAAAGGAGTTCTTACCTGTTCCATACACCGCTGTACACCCAACATTTAGAACAGTATCCGGCATGCAACTGGTTTTCAACACATTTGTTAAATGAATGTATGAAATGTATCAACTGCAAGATTATTTCAGGATATTTAAAATATCTATAACATTAAATCCTCTCACTTATTCAAACCATTTTTTTATGACTGTCAATAAATTATCCAGTTCTGTTCTTGGGGAGTTCACATAATATACAATATCTTGAAATCAGTCAAGTTAATGAATCTCTCTCCTGAAATTCTTTTTCAATTGATCTTTTATGTTTCTTATGTAGAAAATCTTACTATCTTCATGTACTGTAATTATGGCTCTTACTCTTCAAGGTTTATGCCATTTATTTAACTGGCATTGCGTTTGCTGTAATTTTCAAAACACTGCTGAGTAACAGTGGTATTAGCAAGCATCTTTGTCTTATCTGTAACTAAAAAGGAACACTCTAGAGCAGTGTTTCCCAAATTGTTTGTTATTAGTGCCCCTAAGAGTCTTTTAGGTTTTTTTTCCCTAATTGCTCTCAATTTTATGAATAATACCATAAATATACTATATATCTGTATTATACACTATATATCTTTATTTAATATGTCAAGATTTATTCTGTCTGCTCAAGAACTACTGACAATACATGCTCTAACATTTCACCATTAACATGATGTTTGCTATTAATACTTTATTGTGCCACAAAATATTTACCTACTTTTAGTTTCTTGGGGTTCTATTTTTTAAATTAGGAATGGATATTAAATTTTATCAAATACCTTTCCTCATCCTTCAAGATATTTTTTTCACCAAATACAGTAAATAAAAGTAATAAACTTCTAAGTACTCAATTACTCTATAATCTAGGAATAAACAGTACTTGGTTCCATGTTCTAGTCACTCCTGGATTTGATTTGCTAACATTTTATTTAGGAGTTCTACATCGTTAATTTTACTTGTAACTGGTCTAAAATTATTTTCTCTTGTATTGTTTCTGTGCTTTTGGTATCCAGACACATTCAGCATTTCAATATTATTGGGCAGTTCTATATCCACAGCAGTTAGGTTTCACTTACAGAAAGAATGCCAAGTTCCCCAAACTTGTCATCTCATAGTAGCTTAAATAGCATAGGAATATTCTGTTTCTTTTTTTTCTTTTTTTTTTTTTGAGACAGAGTTTCGATCTTGTAACCCAGGCTGGAGTGCAATGGCATGATCTCGGTTCACCACAACCTCTGCCTCCTGGGTTCAGGCAATTCTCCTGCCTCAGCCTCCTGAGTAGCTGGGATTACAGGCACACGCCACCATACCCAGCTAATTTTTTGTATTTTTAGTAGAGACGAGGTTTCACCATGTTGACCAGGATGGTCTTGATCTCTTGACCTCGTGATCCACCTGCCTTGGCCTCCCAAATATTCTGTTTCTTGTAAGTAGCTTCTAAAGCCATCTATTTCTAATGCCTTGTTGGCTATGATTATTTGGGAATTTCTTTCACGCTTATATGTCCATATGTCTTAAAGACAATTTTGCTGTATTTTGAAAAAGTCAAAAATGTCATTTGATTTTCAAATTTAATATGCTACTTTTATGTATCACTGTGGTTTTTATCACCTTTTTCATTCTGTCTTGAATATGTGTAAATATTTTCTCAGGGTTAGATGTGCCAATCAACAACTGTTTTACTAATTTTTATAAAAAACAGTCTTTGATATAAGTTGTCAATTATATTTTCTTTTTTCAGAAGAACCAGATTAACTTCATCATTTTCCATTTAGTATCAACTCCTCTCTGTGTTTGGCTATCTTCTTCCTACCTTTCTGGATTGAACACTTAGTCCATCTGTTTCCATTCTCTTTGTTTAATAACATTTAGAACCACTATTTTTCCTACCTGTAGCTTTGATCATATAGCATTATTAAATAAAATTATGAAAAGCCACTGATTTAGACTTAGTTGCTGCACTACATCCAACAGAGAAACTCAAAATGGAGTCACTCATGCTAGGTTTCCAAATCACAAACGAAAATCTAAACTGTTTACCTGTAATACCTGACCTTGCAGGAAATCTTGAGGAATACATTAAAGTTTCTTTTATGGAATCTCTTTATTTACTTATTCAGTGAGCTTTCCTGATGTGCATTTTAGATCAAGAGCCAGGAAACTGATTTAGTGGGAGAGATCAGCATGGCGATGGGAGGCAGGCCTGGATTATAGCTCCAGAAAGAGCTGCGGAGGCTCACACTATGAATTTTAGCTCCAGATCAACTGTAAGAACAAACCAGAAATCTCAGACCCTCTGAAGGACGTGGACTGCTCTTGCAGGACCTGGGAGACACTGCAAATACTTTGAGTGCCCCAACTGCGGAAGTGGGAAAGGCAGACCCTCTTCTCCTGAACACTCACCTCCACTGGAGAAGCTGAAGGTCTTCTGTGGGGGAAGAAGAAGCTGCGGGGGAAGTTTCTGACTTTACCTGGAGCTGACTCAATATGGAGAGGTGGGTGAAATACAGCGGTAGAGGAAGCAGCAGAAAGGCCCTGGGAGCTTGCTGGGTCCCTGAGCATCCCATTCCTGCCTGGCACCACAGGGATACATCTAGAGGGTGGCCTGAGGAGCAGGGGGTAAAACCCCACAGGGAGAAGGAATTCTTTAGCTGAATTTTGTAACAATTTTGAATGGGGTGAGAAGCCTCCTGGCCAGAACTCGGTGAGGGAGAGGATGAAAAAATCCGGTGTGCAGACTCCACAGGCCCTTTTAGTTTACAGCTGGGAGGCGGGTAGCCTGGGGCAGGTTTTCAAGTCTGTCTTGCCCTCTACCTGGAAACTAACTCAGGGCTGCTGGGGGCGGGCGGCACAGTGGGAGTGAGACTGGCCCTTCTGTTTGCATAGGAACTGGGTGAGGCCTGTGACTGCCAGCTTTACCCCACTTCCCTGAAAACCTACATGACTCAGCAGAGGCAGCCATAATTGTCCTAGGTACACAACTCCAGTGACCTGGGAATCTCATCCCATCCCCCACAGCAGCCACTACAGGACCCACCAAGGAGAGTCTGAGCTCAGACACCTCTGACCCCCACCCGATTGTCCTTCCCTACTCACCCTGGTAGTGGAAAACAAAGGACATACCATCTTGGGAGTTCTAGGGCCCCACTTACCAGTGGTCCGTCTCCACAGTACTACAGCTGATGCTTTCTGGAAAGTACCACCTCCTGGCAGGAGGCCAACCAGCACAAAAATAGAGCATTCAACCACATAAGCTATGGACCCTCACAGAGTCCACTGCACCCACTGCCACCTCCACCAGAACAGGCACTGGTATCCATGGCTGAGAGACCCATAGATGGTTCACATCACAGGATTCTGGGCAGACAACTCCCAGTACCCAGAGCCAGGTGGAATCGCTGGGTGGCTAGACCCAGAAAAGAGACAACAATCAAGTAGTTTGGCTCACAAGAAGTCACACCCACAGGAAAAGGGGGAGGGTGCTACCTCAAGGGAATACCCTGTGGGACAAAAGAATCTGAACAACAGCCTTCAGCCCTAAACCTTCCCTCTGACAGAGCCTACCCAAATGAGAAGGAACCAGAAAACCAACCCTAGTAATATGACAAAATAAGTATCTTCAACACCCCCAAAAAGTCACACTAGTTCACCAGCAATGGATGCAATCCCTGATTTACCTGGGGGAAAAAAAAAATCCAAAAGGTCTGTTATTAAGCTGATCAAGGAGGGACCACAGAAATGCAAAGCCCAATGCAAGGAAATTAAAAAAAAAAAAAGTGGGAGGAGGACTCAAGATGGCGCTGTGAGAACAACCCAGGATTGGAGCTCGCGTTGAATCCGCAAACAGTGAGTCTGAGCTGCATTTCCAGACTGATCTTTGTTGCCCACAGAACAGGGAATCTCCCAAGTATAAAAAAGACACGGGACGCCAGGCAGTAGGTCTGCCTGGCGAAGCCGGCAGCCGGAGCGGCGGCGGCCGGCCCTACCCAGCAATCCCCACAGGGCGCGCTTGTCCGGGTGCCTTGTTGAACCGGCAACCTGAGACTTGAGAGGGCTGGACTTGAGACTGAACGAGACTTGGACAGAAGCTCAGCCCAGGGGATTGTAGGGACAGATCGTTTGGGATACCCAGTGGGACGAACAAAACCGCGATTTCAAACTATCCGGAGCAGACCGCCAGAGACGCTCTGTGGGGGAGGGGCGTCCACCACTACGGAGGCA